ATGGAGCTGCTGTTCTGTTACAGATTTAAAACAGTTTCTGCTTACTTAAACTGGTTTATGTGTAACTTCTGTTCCTAGCCCTGCTGAAGGCTGGCTAAATATGAATCTGACTGAAGACCTTGTGATAGTTTTACTTGGAATTACACTCTGGGTTTACCAGGAAAAGATTTGCTCTGGGATATGTGACCTTGCACTTATATTTCAGCTGGAATTAGTTACCAACTGAATGAATATTCACAGCTCAGAAAGGGCATTTTTAAGAGACTGCAGTGTGAACTAGACTTTACTTTTCCCAGCATGAAACTCAGAACTCCTGCAGGCCAGATCCTGTTCTCCCTAAGCATCCATGTAATAACAGCTGCTTGTGCTGGGCAGAAGTCTTTTCTGCATTTAATGATAGCAAGATTTAATTAGGAAAACCTTTCTTTTTAAAAACTAAAGGTTAATCTAATTAGATGTCCTATCTACATGGGAGTCAGGGGCCAGTTAGTCTTCCATAACATATAGAGTGTCTTTTCCGGTCCATGTCAGACACATGACAGCAAAAAGTAATTATTTAAGACTGTGGTATGTCAGCTAAGTTTGGGGAAGGATCTTCAAACAGCCATTAGCCACCCACTATCAGGTGGAGTCAAGTCCTGCTCATGCTAGGGTAATGCAGAACACAACTCTAAGAATACTGATGTGTTAACACATCGACTGGCATCAGATAATCAAAACTGTATCCAAAATATGTGCTATAGCTGGAGTTATATTCGTGTTGATGAAAATCAGTGAATTATGTAACCTGACATTGTTTTATGTACTGATGTGTTGTAACTGTCCTGGCCAGACTTTCCAGAAGCCTCCAAGGTGGGGACAGTAAAACCAAAGTGCTAATCAGCTTTTGACCTTGGTTAGTGTTAAATTGATGTGAAGTGTGTGGACTAAAGAAAAGAAGTAATTTATAGGGCAGCAGTCATCATCCTGTCTACCGTACCCTGTTAACAGTCCAGATGAGGAGTTTTTTAAAAACAAAAACTAGAAGTTAAATCTTTTCCAGAATGTTAACTCTTGTTGAATTGGTACCTTGTTGAATTGGCTTCAACTGGTTCTCAAAAAATTTCCATAATAAGAAAATCTTTCCCCCTTTTTCCCTAAACCAGCGGTTCCCAAACTCTTTCAGATTGTGCACCAGCAATTTAAAATGATACAACCTTAAGTACCACCAGCACAATTTTGCCATATAAAGTAATTATAATAAGTCTGTTAATGCATACCACTGACGGGTTGTCTGTGTACCACTGGTGGTACGCGTACCACAGATTGGGAACCGCTGCCCTAAACTGTGTAAATTGGATCTTCAAAACACTTGCATTGAGGACAGACTTGTAATTTAAAATAAAATAAAGTAAAAGAAATGCTTAGTAAGAAAACACTTAATTGTCTAAATGTCCTAAACATTTGTTTTAACAACTAAATGTTAAACTAAATGTTAAAACAACATTTGTTTTAAACATTTGTGTAAAACAAATGTTTTCGACAACTAAAACATTTAGTTGTCTAAATGTGTGCCTCTTTCTCCTAGGCTTCCTCTTGTACTTCTGCCATGCTGTTTTGTTAGTCGTGTATTAGTAAAATCCATTTCTGTTTGGATCACCTGAACAATCTTGTTTGCCATTTAAAATCTTGAGTGACATGGTGATTCTGGTAGGCAGGGTTCAGCAGTCTAATGGCCTGTTAATCAATTGATTCCCTCCTGTGGGCATCAGCAGGCAAGAAAATGTGTGTTTTGACAGAAGAGACACAGCAGCAGCAGTCTAGCCTGCTGTTAAGAGAGGGACTTCTAGCAGTCCTTGCTGTGAGCTGGAAGTGGGTACAGGGAAGACAGCCCAAGCAGGGATTTTTCATGAAAACTCTAACAATGGGACATTGAGGGAATGTCCTGAATAGAAGCTCCTGTAGAAGCAGGGGAAGAGTTATCTGTTAAGTATGTGGGGATTTTTCAGTACACTGCTGCGGTCCAGAGCAACTGGTGTGTTCTGACTGCCTAATAATGCCTAGGCAATAAAGAGGTTGCCTTGTTGCACGGAGTTGTTCTATCATGCACCCAGACGAAATCAAACTCCTGCAGAACTGCAGCTGTTAAAAAGAATTGTGGGCAGATTTAGGACTTTGAAAAGGAGGGTGTAGATGCTGAGGTGCATCATCACATATAAAACAACATATATTTTTCTCCAGTTAAAAATAAACTAGAAGCTTTACTAGTATGCTAGGGGCCTAGGTAGGGCTCCATTTGTTAGTTTAAGATTAAAGTAAGAATAATTATAACTTCATTGGAATGAGTTAAAAACAATCTGGAGGGCTGTGAAATAGGAGCTTCATTACCAGGAGCAGCTAGTAGACCGCAGAACTGTAGAACAAAGAATAGCCTGATTGGTGGAACATCAAAGCCATTAGAAAGAAGAGAGGGTCATTAACACTGTGGAATCAAGGGTTTAGAAGGGATCAAGTAGCCTAGGATGAGCCATGCTGCTGCCACTGCCAGGCAGTTGGTTTTAAACTTTGGGTGGAGCAGGAATCAAAGTGGGGTCAGGGTTCGAATTACACGTTGACTCTCGTGGGGCAGGGGTCTGCAAAAAAAATTAAACTGGCTCATTGATTAACAAGTCCACATAAGTGAAGGAGCAATCTGATTGGAGACCCCCCTTAGGTTATGATTTTCAAATCCTACATGGGGGGCTCTCATCTCTTATGGGGGGCTCAGGCCCCCCAAGCTCTGCCTTAATTTGTACCTGGAGCAGGGTGGTGCAAGTGCACTAGTGCACACCCCTGGATCTACCCCTGATACTGGCTACTAAGCTGGTTAGACTGTCATTTTGTCCTCACTCCAGAGGATCTGTGTTTAAGAGAAGGGGGTAATTCTTAGGAAACAGGGTTTTTTTTTCCTGGCAGTTCCTCAGTACTTGTAATGGAGGATGGTATGAGCCTGCAACACAATTCCTAACTCGCTGGTGTAAGAAGCTGGAAAGAGAGAGTGATATGAATCGTGGACTGAGGCATACCAGGCAAGAGAATGAATATTAGATGGAAGACTATCCTGCAGCAAAACAGGATTTTGAGCAAATGAACTAAATCTTAGCTCTGTTCATGTCAGGCTTCCCCCTGCTGGGGGATGAAACCTTGAAAGCTGCCCTCACTCTGGGATGATTGTGGAGTAGTCCAGGGATGTTAAAGACATGGCCAACATGGCTGGATTTCACCTACAGAGCCATTTCACCCAGCCTGCAAGGCAGGGTGAGTAGGGGTAGGGCCTGCTGCTGAATTTCCAGCCACAGAGTCCCACAGTGTGGGGACCCATACTGCTGTGGGGGCAGGAGGGAGTGACAGCTGCATTAACCCGGTGCTGCCACTCACTCTGCCATCACTGGGTTAGTCTCAAGCCAGTCCATGATGCTCCTCTGGAGTTATCTAAGGGGTCTTTCTCCCCCTTATGGAGGAGACTCCTGTTCTCTTTCCACCAGCCAAGATGCAGAAGGCCACTGCTAATTATTACCTTTACTTACCTTGGGCAGAGAATGCCCAGTCCCTTTCTTTTTGTCAAAGATGCTGCCTAAAGGATTCCCATTCAGCTGGAAAGAGGAAGGTATAGCTTGACTGGTGAAGGCTGGTCCCTTCTTGACTTTGGGGCCAGTTTTCTAGTTTTGGGCTGGATTTTCAGACATGCTGAGCATCTACACCTGTTTTCGACTCCATTTAGATAGTGTGTGCTTTGTTCCCTTGAAAATCAGGCCCTAAAATAACAGTTTCCTTTGTTAGAGAAAGGACACAGTATACCCTGCTACCTCAAATTTCTACTAAATGGTGGTCTCAGAGCTCTCGTGGGTGGTTTCTCTGTGCACATGACACAAAGGAGTACTTTGGTGTGAAGTGTGATAGGAATTTCCCTCTCTACATGCACTCCTTCGCACACCTCGAAAATGGAATAGACCCATCTTGTGGTTGCGTTCCACCCCTCATGCAAGCATGCCTGATGGATCCTTGGCCAAGTAACAACTCCCCAAGCCAAGCAAGGTCTTAGCTTTATTAGCCACCATACTGACTCATCTTTCCGTCCCATCCTGCTTACACACCTATGTCAACTGAACTCTCTGCCCAGCTACAGAATCCCTTCCTTGCTGCCAATCGGGCATTCCACCCAGTTTTTGACCATTCCCAGTCCCTCATCAGAGACCAACACACAGTGCCATAGCAACAAAGTTTGGCACCTGGGGCAAAGCCCACAGTGGCAGCCTGCCCTCGCCCTGCACAGATCCGGGGGACACACGCCCCCCCCATGCTTGCCTGGGAGTGCATGCAGCAGCGGGAGCCACCCTTCCCCCATCCCCGCGCCCCCCCAAATGAGCTGCTTGCGACTCCATCACACATCCCACCCTGGCTGGGCAGTGCCTGTTGGCGCCCCTCCGCTTCAACGCCTGGGGCAGTCATCCCACCAACCCGCACCCACACACACACACTTGCTGCGGTATTATCAACACCACCCCAGTGTCAAGCAAGCCTTGCACCTGATTATACATTCTACACCTATCATCAACCAAACACTTAAGACGTGCTCACTGCCAAAGCTGCCCTCTGTGTTATAGGCTCCGCTAACTCCCCCTGTCCATGCAATACATGCTGCCTTTTTAGAGGCCCAGTCCAGCACAAATCGAATGAAAAGCTTCAGCCTATCTTGAACTGTATACTAGAACTGAGTATGTGGTCAGTGTCACCTCCTCAGAATAAGGTCTTCTTGGTTGTAGCTGGGGAATCCTTACAGGCTCATCAGTCTGACTTGTTCACAAATGGAAAGTGAATGAGATTTTCCTGAGCAGTTTCTAGAGGTCCTGAGGACTATCAGAATGCAAGATTTGCTTAACAGAGAGAACCCTAAATCCAAGACACAAAAGGAGACACAGACGGTTAACATGACTTCGACATAAACATTGCTATTGTGTTGCAGATGCCTGTGTGCAGTGCAATTTTGAAGCAAAGGTGTTGAATTGTTGAATTAGTATTTTTACAGAGAAAATTCCAGCATGATCATCTTGGATAGGAAACAGGTGCCTTACTGTGCTGGGAGCACTAACTGCTGGAAGATTCTGCTGCATCTCCTGAGCTGTCTTAGCATTTTTGAGTGCGGTTTGCTGTCCAGTGATGTGAGGGCTAGTTGGATCCCATATGGTTGGGTCCCCTGCATAGAGCACCCAAGAGTCCATTACACCAGAGTGTTAGCCCTTTGTTCATGCTGAGTTCTTGCTGGGAGCACTAGAGTCCCTAGTTTGTTCCCAGGTAGGACTAGCTGCTGGTATTTCTCCACCAGCTCTTGATAGATGGGGCTACTATTTCTCAAGGCAAATCTCAGTGCTGTGTCCTGGTAATGGGGCTGGAGATCAGGGCAAGGCCAGTCCCAGGAGTCTTTAGGTGCAGGTCTGACTGGCTGCAGTGGGACCCAATGTGATCGCAGGCCTGTTCCTGACGTAATGTGTCTGTACCTGTCCAAAGGGAATGGAGGTTCAATATGTTAGGTTTCTAGACAGACATTTACAGTTACAGACATCAGGTATTTTGTTTTCTTTTTTCTTGACTCTTCCAACACTCAGAGGATAGGAGGGATGGAGGGTTATTGGGACTTGATGGCTTTGTAAAGGGTTGACTTTTGCTGATTGTGAAAGTGCTCCTCAACTATAAAGAGCTCTGAAGCTGTGAGAATCTTGGTGAGTGAGCCAGCTTGGGAGATGGTAATGACTGCATTAAAGGGTCTGAAGTGGGAAAGTAGCCCATGAGTTTAAACAAGAATGAAATTTGCTGGAAAATGTAACTGTTAGGTCACTGAGCTGGGATTCAGCGGTGCGAGATCCCCAGCCAACCTCAGACCTTTTAGTGCCATGGAGGGATTTACAATGCCTACCTGTCTGAGCTTAAACAGGGTCCCAAGGTCCTCTCCCTAAGCCTGGTAGGACGTGATATCACACTGTGGCAGCTGACTATCACCTTTACTACTACCCTAGAAGAGGAATGTAAGGTTTGGGGGGGCAATACTGACAACATTTCTCTGTCTTGGTGACGAAGACCTTCCAAAAAAACTGCTTTTACTGGGATCAAGAGACCTGTCGATAACATAGGCTATGGGGGTGGCAGAATATTTCCATATCCCTGGCCCAAAGCTATGGGACTTACTGCATTGGATGCCCAGGTATGGTGCCCACAAACTTATGCTCTTTCTGAATGAGAAAACCTCTCTTTACAACAGCTTTTCTGTATGTGCAGAAAGGAGAAAAAAGAACAGAGAACTCAGGGTCTACATAAAGCCAAACTATAAAGCCATTACTATAAATGCTTGCCAGTCAGTCATTGACCACTGTGAGTATGGGATCATTTTAGCTGCTTTGTGGCAAGATAGAGAAGAATAAGGGGATGAAACTAAGGGGAAAAACCTTTCACTAGAAAATTGAGGAAAATCTTTCTGAAGCAGTGATATCTGAGACTGTAAAATAGTCTGCCAAAGGTTGTAAACCTTATTACTGAAAACTTTCAAACTAGGCTTAACAAAATATTAGGAACCATACTGTAGGAGCAATCCTGCCTCAGTAGTTGACTTTATAGGGCTTTTCCCACCACTCATTTTTGTGACTCAAGTGCTCTCTTGTTGTCATACTAATTACAGTGCTAACTGGTACAGGAAATAGCTTTTGGGAGTATCATGGTCAGAATGAATCCTTGATAGGAAGGTGAGTGACAGAAAAATGATCCCATGTTATCAATCACTGAGTGCAGAGGGGTGCCTCCAACTCCTACTGACTCAGAGGAGCAAAAAAATAAATACAGCATGGTGGACTGATAGCAGCAAGCTTCCGCTCTTCCTTCAGTAATAACAGCAATTTAAAAAAAAACCCACCCTATGAATGTAATGTTTCACAGAAGGAAAAAGTTGTTTCTTAGTATAGGGCAGGGGTGTCTAACTCATTTGGCCCTGCAGCCTGGATCCAGACTGTGGGGCTTCTTGCAGGCCAGATGACCCACCGCTGGTAGCACCAGTACTGCTTGAACCCCATTTTCTTCTGATGCTGACTTTAGTTGCTAATACTGACTGAAGACCCCAAATGAGCAGTGGGCAATGGGGTGGGGATGAGCAGCAGCAGTGTTCAACCCCTGAGCTCCAAAGCCGGCAATACAGTGGCTCTAGCACCTGTGCCAAAAAGCCCTGTGGCCCACAGTTTAACCACTTGGGGGCCACCAGTTGGACAGCCCTGGTGTCAGAGAAGGCCCCTGCCTAAGTTAGCCTGTTCCAAACTCCCACATCATAGGAAAACTTTTAACAGCCTTTGGGGAGGCAAGAATCAATCCAACATCTTTATCAACAAACCACCCAAATGCCCCAACAATGTCAGGCCCTTAGTCAGAGACCAGGGCATATCCTTTGTGTGCTCTAATGCTTGGGTGTAGTAGCATGTAACCAAGTAATGTGATGTAGAAGTAGGCTGTATATCATTCCCCTTTTTCCTCACAGCTCATATTCTTCGCTACAGCACAAAGGGAAAGATCTGTATTTTCAGAAAAGTATCAGGAGTTACATCGTGGAGTTTTGGTATGCAATAGCCCTGAATGCAAATGTTTATAACAGCTGCCAGTCAGCCACTGAGAGAGTACCATGAAATCTTAGTGGGAAGGGGTGTGGGGGAGGAATCTTTCCTAGATTCATGGGCTGGAAGGGACCTCGCAAGATCATCAGGTCTAGCCCCCCTGCACTAGGCAGGAAAGACGTAAATAAGCATTTGCAACAATATTTGGATTATTTTTAATAGCCTCTTAAAAACACTAGGCAGTAAATTTACTTATCCTGACTTTCCCTATTTATCATCACATGAATTTCAATCCAAGATTG